TTATTTTTGATTGCTGCTTTGCAATTTTCATTGAACCATGGATTTATTATTTTTTTATTTTTGTTTTTTACTACTGGTGTTGTTTGATGGATTAGTTGCATTATTATTTTGGTCCACACTTCCAACGGGTCTTCGGTTGTGATCTCCCATGTTATGAAGTGGTTTATACAAAACTCTTTGAATAGCTTCCAGTCCGTTTTTATGAAATTTAGTTGTGTTCCTCTGTCTGATCTAATCTGAGCTCTTAATTTTGACGATAATTGGGAAATGATCGCTACCGTGCTGATCGCCGAGAACGGACCAACCAATATCATCCTTTATTGATGAGGAAGCCATTGTAAGGTCTATTGTAGAGAAAGAATTTGTCTGTTCATGAAAATATGTGGGACCAGTAGGCTTTATTAATTGGATATCCCCTCGTGTTATTATTTCTTCAATGCACTTGCCCTGTAGGTTTCTACGTTTGTTCCCCCACAAATGACTGACCATTGAAATCTCCAATGAGAATTAAAGGTTTGGGAAGATCATTGAGGATCTTTAGAATCTCTTCTGTTCTTGTCAATGTGTTAGGTGGCAAATACATATTACAAATGGTTATGGTTTTGTTGGTTGTTATTTTTGTTACTATTATGTTTAAATTTTGATTAATTTTAATTTCTGATTGCGTTATTGTATTATTAATATATGTTGTTATTCCACCAGCTGAATTTGTTTGAGATGGTTCAGCTGCTTTTGAGTAGTTTACATATTGTTTGATATCTATTTGTTTATTTGCGTTTAGTTTTGTTTCTTGTAAGCATATTATTTGTGGTTGTTGTTCGGCTATTAATATCTGTAGTTCTGGGAAATTGCTTTGTATTCCTCTGATATTCCACTGTAGAATTTTGATTTCTTTTTCTGTATTGTTGTTGTCATTAATTTTGCATGGATTTTTTTATCCATGTTTGTTGTTATAAGTATGATTGAGTATTTTAGCTAGGTTATGGCATGCTTCTTCTGTTTCGTCCGTTGGGGGAAAACATCATTATCGTCTTCGTTGCTGCTTATTGTTTGTTGGCAGCATGTTTTATTTTGATATTTGAGCTTGTTGTCATTATTATTTTTATTAGTTGAGTCTTTATCTTCATTCTTTCTATAAACCTTGAGTAGCTCTGCCTGGATCAAATTGCAAGATGTGCTTTTGTCAGCCTTCTGAGGACAATTTTTGGTTATGGTTGCAGATGTTTTTTGCTGAGTTGTTTTTTTTAATATTTGTTTTGCTTTCGGGATGGTGATTTTATTCATGATCTTGATTCTTATTATTTCTTTTTGCTCTTTGTATACTCGGCATGATTTGTCATAGTTCGTGTGCTTTTCTCTACAGTGATAACAGTTTGTATTATTATTACATGACTTTTTTCTAGTATGAGAGTGTCCTAAATCACCACAGTTACTACAGACAACTCTTTTATTGCTACATATATTTTTATGGTGACCATATATTTGGCATTTGGTACACCTCATCGGATTTGGAATATACTCTCTCACTTCTACTTTCTCATAGCAAATTACCATAGTTTTTGGGATTTCATGTGTTTGAAAGGTTAGGATATAAGTGTTGGTTTTAATAAGTTGTTCATTTTTTTAATGGTGATGCTTTTAACATCTACTACTCCTTGATTTTTTAGCTCTTCTTTTATTTCCTGTTCAGAACAGTTTTTTAGTGATGCTGTTTTGATTACCCCCTTTGAAAAATTTGAAGACCTATGAGGTGAACATTTTACATTTATGGTGCTAATTTTTGATATTGTCTGTATTTTTTCTCCTTGTTTTGCGTTTTTAACTTTTACTATTATTTTATTTCTTCCAATTTTTATATTATCTACGTCTCCTATTTGTGCATAAATCTCTTTTTGAACACGGAAACAAGTAAGTTCAGTTATGTCGTTGTCTTTTTCTGCTTCGATTACATAGAAGACTGGACTTAGCTGAAATGTTTGTTTTTCATATGTTGGTTCAAGTGAAGAGACTCTTGCTCTTTTGGAGGTACCTTTTTTCTGGGAAGGCGACATTTCCCGGTGACACGAGGTCACCTTAGAATAGGCGACTCTTTTTTTTTTGGCAGTATTTATAACCGAAATTATTTAAATTATTTAACTTTAAAATTATTTTCTATTATTACGTATTATTATTATTATTACGTATAATTATGCTTAATACAAGCAAGCGATAATAAAGTCCTGACCGTATCAACTTCACAGGAAGTCCTATTTTAAATTGTTAAAAATATAAGTAACACAACACAAACATTGTTTTAATAAATCGACTCACTAACATTAACAACTAACTCGGCTATAATTTGCGATGTTGTTCTTTGTGTTGTTGCTGCCTTTTCCTTTATTTTCGCAATTACCTTTTTTGCCTCGATCAAACCAGAGTCTGGTACACGATTGTGATTATTAGTACATTTTTTAACTTCATCTGTATCGAAATTTATGATATTTTATACATTTCCAATACAGTTTTATCTAGTCTATATACATAACCACCGTGTGAAAGTAGTTTTCCATCTCTTTGACTGTTAATAAATTGGATTGACATTTTTGAGAATGACTAAAAAAACCGCTCAATTAGAAACAAAGTTGATTTGCAATGAAAGGTAGATCGTAATAAAAAAGACTAAAAATCCACTCAATTTGAGACAAAGTTAATTCGCAATATCGTAATATTACGATTTGCAAATTGTAATAAAAATGTTCAAGACAAGACAATAGAAAATCTATTTTTTCAGTCATATATTAATTATTAATTTAATCAAACAAATAAAAAAATTATTCAAGTTTAACAATTAAAAATAATTCAATGTCATTGAGTAAACTTTTTTTCGGCAAAATGTCTCTTCGGCAAAATGTCATTTGGCAAAATGTCTTTCGGCAAAATTTCTTTTGGCTAAATGTCTTCTGGCAATAAGTCGTTCGACAAAATGTCGGTCAGAAATTTTTTTTGGGCAAAGGTCGTTCGGAAAACTGGGGTGACACACATGTTGTTTAATAATTTGAAATTGAAAAAAATTTTTAAAAATTATTCTAAGAAAAATTTTTTTTACCTGTTTATGAAGTAGTTTTTTTTTAAAGAAAAAAAATTGCCATTTTTGTTTTTTGATAGGTTGTTAAGCTATGAAAGCACTATATAAAACAATTTAAAAAATTAAAAAAGTTTGGTTCTTTGTGGTTGAAAACGGCGTCAAACCAAAGGAGTTTATCATTTTTTGGACATTTTGACCTTTGTTAGTTCGAAAAGTTTGTTACAGAATTTTGTGATTTATTTATGACTATAAGGTACTTCTAAATAACAAAAACATTTATTTATTTAGCGATAGATTTGAGCTAAACTGCTCTGAAATCGGTGAAATTTTCAAAAAAATGCAACTTTTCCAGAATTTTTTTACCAAATATTTTTTGGTTCGAAACAATAATTTTTATTTGTTTTATTATAATATTGTTTCATTGATATGCACAAAAAATTTCATTAAGATATGTTAGCTAGTTCAAGAGATAGCGTTTTTCATTGGCCCAAATTTTGATAAAAATTGTTCAAAAATTTGAAGGTGCTGTGACTTAAATCTTCATAATTGAAATATAATTGAAATTTTTTTATAAAACTATTTTGTCGATAAAATACATTGAAGTACTTACTGTTAAAATTAAAAAAATATCGAATATGGTTCAAGTTGACAGAGAATAGATTTGGGTCATTTACACAGCGTATCATTTCGAACACCGAAGATGGTATAGGAATACCGAAAAAAGCTTTTTTGTTCTATCATGCTTAAAATACAAAAAAATTTTGGTTTTGAACTCAAGAAACTTGACAATGATTTACGATCTACTTTAGAACAATCGAAAAATTAAACAGGAAGCTATATACGTAAATTACTTGAATCTATTTTCAAAGATCGTTTATTAACATTTATGGATGTTAATAATTTGCTAGACTTCAGTAATAAGGTTTTGAAAAAGGGAAATCCGCATCCATTGAGTTATTGACATTTTAAAATTATAAACTACTCTAGTTTACAAGGAGATTGTTGTGATATATAGAGATCTTAGGAATGTTTTTAAGTGTTTCAAATTTTGTTAATGAAAATTTTGCTACCACTTGGAGTAGACAATAATCAGGTTGAATGTTATTAACCAGTCAGGTTATGTTGTGCGAGTGTCAATAATTGCTTGTCTGAAAATTTTAATGATGAACTAGCATACGGAGTAGACAAAAATCTGGTTGAATGTTATTTTTAGAATGGCAGATTGTGTTGTGCGAGTGTTAATAATTGTTTGTCTGAAAATTTTGGTGTAAGTAGTAACATACCTCAAGAAAGCGACTCAAGTTCAGTTTCGTACATTATGTGCGTAAATGACGTTTAAAATTGTTGAAAACAGCCCTGTCCAATTGTTCATGTACGTTGATGACACACAACTGTTGAAATTCTAAAACTTAACAAATTATTTTGCAAAAATGTGTGGATTATTTGTAATTTTAGTGTAAAAATGAAAGCTAAATTCGAAGGTCAATTAATAGGCTGTGATGAGATTTAATCAGGACGAATTAGTCAGTAAATTGGTTTTATAACATTTACTGGGATAAACTAAGCACTAGAAAATTTCTTTTTGAATGGTGTTATTTTTCTTTGAAATTACCTTCCTGAGGAAATTTGAAAAATTGCAATAAATAAAGAATTTTTTTGCAATTATAAATAGACGTTTTATAAATATCTTATTTTGACATTATAAACAAGCGTTTTCATTTCGCTGAGCTTAGTGATAGCAGTTTATTATCATTTGTTTAAATCATGAAAGGTTATGGAAGCAATGTTGAATAACATTTTAGTTGAATTATAATAATGATTATTCTATTTCCTATTGACAATATTGAACCATTAATTGATTATACTGATAACTATATTATAAATCTAAAAATGATCATTGTCATTATTACATACGTACACATAAACATCTTAACAGTTACATAAAGAGATTCAGTCGAATTAACATGAAAGTTTTGAAAAATTGGTGTCGCCAAATCTTAAAGGGTCTACTTTTTTTGCATAGTCGTACTCCGCCTGTCATTCACAGGGACTTGAAATGTGACAACATCTTCATTACCGGTACAACTGGATCTGTCAAAATTGGCGACTTGGGTCTTGCCACTCTGAAAAATAAATCTTTTGCAAAAAGTGTTATAGGTTTGTCAGTTGAGTTTTTCTTTACGACTTTGTTTTTTATCCTATCTGAAATTTATGATAGACAATATTGAATTTGAATTTTTAAAACTTCATATGGTTGGAAAATTAAAAAAATTTTTTGTTTAACATTTATCCAAACACGTTTATCTGAAATTGTAAATATACAGGTCATTAGCTCGTTGGTTTTATATAAATATATTACTAAATATATAAGAAATTGCATGTAGAACATCATTGTTGAAATGAAGATGGCATGGGGTGAGTTAAAAAATTTGAATTTGGTTTGGGTCAAGACATTGTGCTTTTGTGTTTTTGTTAATAAATGACATTAATCGGCGAAATTATAAATGAAAGATATTTTGAAAAATGCTTTAATTGTCTTAATTAAACTTATATTTTAATAAATATTACAATATTAAAATTAAAAAATATTGAATTGACTGAAATGAACATCATTTATACCTTTTGACCACTAGTTCCATAGCGGTTTTTCAGCTTTTTCAAAAGCTAAAAACTCCAAAGCTATTGTCTCCGACAACAACTCCAATACTTACCTCGAACATGTTGGTCACTCCAGTCTCATTTTCATAACTCTCTTTAATTGATCGATCAAGCACTGCAACATGCTGACCATGTGGATCATCCCTCAACTTAAACCTGGCATAAATGCCACTCAATCTTTTTCGTATTGTCCCTCATCATAAATATTCTACAATCTCTCCTCTTCTCAACAATCACAACCCACCTACCATTGGCTGACTATCAACATGGCTCTCGCTCAAACTACTCCACTACTACAGCCTTTTTCAGGCTCTCCACAAACATGTCAATGAATTAAGCCAAAATAAGCCAGCCAACCGTACTATAGCTTTTGCACTCGATCTTATTAACGCCTTTGTCTCAGTCAACCACCTCATCCTACTCAAAAAAACAGCCAGTCTACAATTCCAGCCTACCTAACCAGATGGACCTCCACTTCCTACATAACCGCCAGTGGAAACCTCAATTTGGCAACGCACGCTGACTCAATTACAAGAAGATTTCACACAGAGGGACAGGAATATAATTAATTTTAACAGCCAAAAATTAATTGCTTCAACCCAAATTTGTTTGAATAAATTATAAAAGGATCGTTATTTACAATCCAATTAATCTATTCGATTTGATGTTTTGATAGATATTTAAACAAAGATACAGATTCGCTCCCTAAGAGGTTTTAAAAAATTGCACTGTCCCATATATTAATTGATATATATGATTTTTTATGCTTGAATGTCATTAAGCCAAATTAGTTGCAATTCTTTTAAGAATTTAGGAAGTCTCATCCTATGTTGATTTTGATTTTAGGTACGCCTGAATTTATGGCTCCTGAGATGTATGAAGAACACTATGATGAGGGGGTGGATGTATATGCATTCGGAATGTGTATGTTAGAAATGGCAACGGGAGAATACCCATACAGTGAATGCTCCAATGCAGCTCAAATCTATCGGAGGGTCACTATGGTATGTTGTGATGGTTGAAATGTAATTATGCTGGTCAGTAAGTATAACATGCTGAAGATATGATTATGTGATGTTTGTAATTGTGGTTATGGTTATTAGATATGTACCTGATATGCTGATGAGGTGCGTTGCCTACCTAGTAATGGTTACGTTTCAAAAAGTGTTAGTGACAGTCATGTAGTGTTTCTATTGGAGATGTAGATTTAATGATCTGATATTTAAAAAGAGAGAGAATGTTTATCTATGTTAAATATGTTAAATGTTAGATGAAATGTTGAAATTTGTTCAACAGGGTATGAAACCTGACGCCATTGCTAAAGTTGAGAATGCAGACATGAGGGACATAATAGAAGGTTGTGTCAAATATCTCAGCAAAGAAAGGTGAGGTTACTTTATGACTTTCAGTTAGATGATTGATTATTAATGTTGCAGTGAGTAGAAGTTTTTACTCCTATTCAACATATTAACTTTCCTAAATTTATTTTATTTTTGTTTTATCAAAAAGCTGTCATCTTTTTTATAATGCTTTTTTCATTGCTTATTGATTTATTTGTGTCAGTAAATTTTTCATCTCTACTGGTAGTTTTTTTTAGTTCGTTTAATATTGTTGCTTTTTTATTGTAAATAATATGGTATTAATTTAGTAAAAAAATTCTACTTATTTTTTCTAGATTATCATGCATTAATTTAGTTTCAAATTTCTGTCTATTTTATTCAAATTGTTTTGCATTACCTGCCTTTACTGTACTTTGATTTTATACAGATACATGTCTTTATTCATAAATAAATAATGTTGAATGTATTCATTATCGGCTGGTTGATCTATTTATGATGCAGATATACTGTGAAAGAACTTTTGCAATGTGACTTCTTCAGTGAGGATACAGGCATAAAAGTCGAGTTAATAAAAAAAGAAGACATGAACACAGATACCATTGAGTTCTGGTTGAGGGTCGATCCGAAAAGGCGCAAACAACAGCACAAGGAAAACGAGGTCATTCAGTTTGAGTACAACATGATAAATGATGATCCGGATAAGGTAGCCATGGAAATGGTAAGCAGATTGGTTTCGTTATTATGCCTCTATTCATTTGCTATTTAAAACCTGTGCATGTTTATGTATGGCCTATTTAAATATTGTACTAACAATATTTGAAGCAACGATATATTAAACACTGGTCACAGGTAAGGTCAGGATTCGTGAACGAAGATGAAGTTAAAATTATTTCTAAACAAATAAGTGATCGTGTTGCAGAAGTGAAAAGAAAACGTACCATAGCGTCAGCGGCTGCTGCGGCTGCTAAGGAAAATGCAGTTGCTAAAGAAAGTGCGACTACAAAAGAAAATGCAGCCGCAAAAGAGGGAACATCCGTGCATGGCTTTAAAGAAGGAGCACCAACTGTGCCCTCAACGGCAACTCTTCCACTTGCACCAGTTGTTATTCCGGTTCCTATTGCCACAAGTCAAGCTTTAGTATCTGATAGTTAGTAATTTTTTCACTAATATAATATAATTATTTAGTTATTAGTTATCGTACATTGAGAAAACTGATTCAGATGTGAATGTTTTAAAGTTTATTTATTCTCAATTTAAATTCTTAAGTTGATTTGATTTAATCTATTCTAAGTTTATCTAATTTATTCATTGCTTTGGCATAATTTTAATTTAGTTTAATTTTTGTATGCATGTCGTTTAACCATGTCCTGGGTATGACATAAAACTGCATCCACGCTGCCTTGCGTGCTTTTGAGCGAAAGGCTAGGCCCACCGCCCGCTTATAACTGGTGGTTGTCGTCAGGATGGATGTCCGGATGTAAAAACTTTTCCCCAAATTATTCCTATGTCATCACAAAGAAAAACAACGGCCCCTAGTCCCCAGCAGGCCTTAAGTGGTCAAGGGGTTCCAAGAATCCCTGGGAAGTATGCAATAGCGGAGGGATGGCCCCTCTATGGTACTTAGACTTGGAACGCTCAATGTTGGATCACTGACTGGCCGCAGCATGGAAATCGCAGAAATGCTCGAGCGTAGAAGGATTGACATCTGCTGCCTTCAGGAAACCCGATGGAAATCGAATGGTGTCTGTCATGTCAACTCAGACTAAGAAAAATATAAACTATTCTGGAATGGTCAAAAGACGGCCAAAAATGGTGTTGGAATTTTTGTCAGAGAACCGCTAGCCCAAGAAGTACTGGATATTAAAAGGATTAATTCACGTCTCATGTGGATCAAGCTTCGCATAAAAAAGCAAACAATGATTATTTTTTCTGCATACGCACCACAGACAGGCGAATCAGAAGAGATGAAAAATGACTTCTGGACTGCATTCTCTGACACCATCTCAACAATACCAAAATCTGAAACAATCCTGATTGGAGGCGATCTCAATGGCCACGTTGGAGAGAAAACAGATGGTTTTGACAACGTACATGGCGGTTTTGGCTATGGAAAACGGAATGAAGGTGGCAACCGCATCCTTGAGTTTGCTGAAAGTCACGGGTTTTGTTTACTGAAAACATATTTTAGAAAGAGGTTGGAACATCTCATAACATACAAAAGTGGACCATCAGCCACGCAAATTGATTTCTTCGCTGTCAAGCAACCACACCGAAGGCTATTCAAAAACGTCAAAGTTATGCCTGGCGAATCATGTGTCGCCCAACATAGACTCCTTGTGGCAGACCTGGCTGTCGAACTGTCAAAACATAAGTCTAAACAAATGCCTCGGAGAATCAAAACGTGGAAGCTGAAAAGCAATATTCATCGAGAAAAATTTCAACAGATTTATCTAAAGTGTCCAATTTTGTTTGTCCTGCTTGCATCAATCCACAACAACAAATTCAAAATAGCACTGTTTTTGAAGCCATTAATGTATCGAAAGTCACATCGTTTCAATATCTAGGGGATATTCTGGATTGTACTGGAACAGCTGAAGCTGCCGTTCGAGCACGCATACATGCAGCCTGGAATAAATGGCATCTCCTTGCCTCTATATTGATGCCTCCTTGCCCACTACCACTACGATCAAGACTTTATAAATCTGTGATACGTCCGGTGTTGTTATATGGTGCAGAAACATGACCAATGACAACCAAACTGGAACAACAACTTCAACGAACCGACATGAAAATGCTCCGATGGATGCAACGAATTAGTCTGAAGGGCCACATCAAATCTACCGAAATCCTGCGTCGTGCTGGTTTAGATGATATAAAGGACGAATGCCGGCAACACCGTCTGCGGTGGTTTGGTCATGTCAAACGAAGTGGAAACAGTGCCATAACTTCTCTTGCAGATGTTGAAGTACCTGGCACACGTCCCAAAGGTCGTCCAAAGAAGTCCTGGTCGCAAACAATCGAGCAAGACATGAAAGCTCTAAATTTAAATAAAATGGATACAACTGATCGTCTAATTTGGCGCAAAAAGTTGATGGCAAAGAAAACAACGTCCTACCTCGGGAAACCGGGTCTCTGGACGCAAAACGAAGATTGATTGATTTAACCAATTTTCTTGGTTGGATGTTTGGTTGGTTGATTTGGTTCCAGTTTCGATTGAATGATGATAGTTACAGAAAAACCGTCTGGTCATTAGAGGAAAAAGTTTACACCAACAAATGTAGAGGAGCAAAGAATGAGTGACGTGTACGAAAAAGATTTAAGGGATTTATGATTGGATCAGTTTGTGGCATGACCGTTCCTGGATGCTGTAAATTGGGAGCTAAATGTCTTGAAACAATTATGAACTCGCGAGTGTAAGAATTGACGCTTGTCTACATCTGACATCTTTACTAATTTTATGGATCTGAACGTGATTGCTATAATTTGTTAAAATTAATTATATGTTACAATTTAATTATGTGCTCAAACTGCAACATTTGAACAAACTGGTTGTCAAATATGCGCCACAGGCATCTAGATAGGATATAGTTCAACATATTTTCAAGTTTATCACTAGAATAAAAAGGTACCAGTATTTAGATTATAAAGGCATTGACATTTGTAATAGGCCCCAGAAAAAGGTTATATCTAACTTCTTCATGAGGACATAATTTGAATATAATGCTTCGGTAGAAGACAACAGAGAATAAGTGAGTTCATCAGGAAGAACGCAAAAAATTATAATGCTTGTTTTAATATAATTTTGATCATGGTTGGTAGATGTTGCGTATGCTCTTTGACTTGGTTATTGACTCGTTTGTTGTGTTTTACATATTCACACATGCTGATTGTTTGAACACTTTAATTTTATTTAGGTCAATCTGTCAATGCATTAGTTGAAAATAATGAAATTTCCAAAATCAATCCTAACCAGGTTTGTATGATGAATGATGATAAAATTGATGTCATAAATTATTAACATTAACAACTGATGTGAAATTTAGTCTCTTTTGCTAAATGAATTTTTTGGTTACACTTCAAAGGTAATCAGATAAAATAATTGATTTTTTTATCTTTCACTTTCATCCAGATTATACACTGCTTAATTACGCATTTAATAATAATAATAATTATCATTATTTTAAGTGGTCCGGCATAGCCCTTTGCAAAACAAAGACAGAAAAATAAAAAATCAAATTAAAATAATAATATATAAGATGGAATTAGCAAAAACAATGTCAACAGAATTGAACTGAGTAAACACGTAAACCTATAAGAACATACGCAAAAACCAAAATGATGATAAATCGTTGAATGGTGGAATGGAATCGTTGAATAGTTGAAACGAAACTAATTTTGATGATGTTGATTTTTGATTTTTTTCTTGTGCAAAAGGGATTTAACTGTACAAGTACACAGATCAAGTACAAATTAGAAATTAGAGAAGGCGGTTTGTTCCATTCTTCTACCACTTTGTTCGAAAAAAATTTACGGCAGTCTTTATGGCTGAACCTGTAGTTAGCTTGAAGTTATGGCCTCTTGTACGAACATTGTGTGCAAACAGTAACGTAGGAACAACATCGGCAAGGAGCTGACTATGTATCATTTTATATGACAAAATAAGGTCTGCTCTTAAACGTCTGTAGACCAGAGATGGCAACTCTAATTTCCTCAACCGGTCCTCGTATGGAAGACCTCTGCAGGTTGTTCTCACACGCGTGTCCTTCGCTGAACCTTTCAATCTCCTCTATTTAACCGACTCTGTAAGGGTTCCGTACTCGGACACCGTACTTCATGTGCGACCTCACCAATGTCTTGTATAAAGTTACAAAAGCTTCGTCAAATTGGTATTTGAAATTTCTGGCAATAACACCTAGCATAGAGTTCGCTTTGTGAACTACCTTCAAAACAAATTGAACTTCAATTTGTCATCTATAATGACTCCAAGATCTGAAACTTCTTTAACCATCGGCAGATGAAGAGATCCGTTGCCATCCAAAATAGTGTAGGGTAAACACGGTTTGTTGGAGCAAATTTTTAACAACAGGCATTTATCTGTGTTAAATTTCAGTTTTCATTTATTAAACCAAACTATTATTTTACAATATCGCACATAAAACTGTTTTTGTCCTCTTCACTCTGTAGATTTTTGAATCATCTGCAAAAAGTAGGATATTGTCACATAAAGATGAAATGTCATTAATATAAATAAGAAAAAACGGGCTCAAAACTCCACCCTAAGGGACCTCTTTTAAAACCGGTTTTTTTTGGCTCTAATAAGGCATCTTCTAGTTTGACCAGAAAAGTTCTGTTGCTGAAATATTTCTCAATCCATTTTACTCTCTTTCTATTCACACCATATCCTTGAAGTTTGAACAACAAACGACTATGGGAAACCTTGTCAAACGCCTTGTCAATGATGTTAAACGATTTAATTTTTTTATATTTAAAATGGTAATATAATTGTTTAAATAATAATAATTATTATAATAGAAACTTCTTTTATTTGAAAAAAATCTACATACAGAAAATGGAAAGAGAATCAATCCGTAAATAAGAAAAGAGAAAATTGTTAATGATTTAATTTATGTTATTATGAAAATTCATAAAATATTTATTTAGCGTTTCCACAACGAAAGATTTAGTAATAAATTGTTCCTATTACAATAAATGTCAAACGATTGAATTATAGCATTCCTCATAAAGTTATTGAGTGTGTCGTTTGGCAAAGGTGGTAGCTTGAGGCATTTTATCAGTTCTTTGAGATCGGAGACGAAGTCAAGCGTAGATACTTTCCAGGAAAAGATTTTGAAAATGATATCTCGATATTTCTTTAGTTTGACATTTAAATCTTTGTATTTGTTAAGTTTGTATTGTTTGCTTTTTAAAAGATTAGTCTTGTGGCAAATTGTGAGTTCTAGTACGTACACGTTTCTATTTTCGTTATGCAAACGGCCGGGCGATATGATGGTTCGAAAATATCTGAGATTGGTTTAACTTCAGTCATCATTACATCTGCCAACAGGTTTTGATTAGGCCTTTTAACAGATTTCAACCAATCAACCATTACTTCATAAACGAAGTTATGACGTTTCGTGGTTATTTAAAGCTCTCTGTGATTCACAGTTTGAAAGAACGTGTTTGTTTGTCTGTGGTCTATCAGAGCCGCGAAGTTTGCACCGAGGATCATTGCCAGGTTTGCATCCGTAGGAAGCTGTTGTGGAATGGCTTGTTTGGCAAATTTGAAGATAGATATTGGAATTTGATATATGGCCTAAAACAGTTTTCCTCACCAAACTTTCAGTTTTAATTTGAAGAAATATTTTTTGGCTTCGTTTAAACAGTTCAGTTTTTAACAATTTACATAGTGCTTGTCAGCCATCATTTTTTAATATTAATACATCAATTTTTAGCGTTGGTGTCGGACCATAAAACAACAACAACACACGTTTAGACGACATTTTCCCCGAGATCGGGGGTTGCCATTTGTCTACCTATGATGAAACCGAAATACCCCTCGATGCCATTCTGCCGGATACTGAGGGCCATTGTCACTTCTGTCATCATAAGTAATTTATTTGGCTAATTTTTACGCAGGACGCCCTTCCTTACGCAACCACAGTTATAAGCGGTGGGCCTAGCCTTTGATGATCCAACATCACTCACAAGGCAGTGAGGGTCAGTTTAATGTCATAACCAGGACAGAGGTGTCGGACCATACATCTTTAATAAACTCATAACTGCTGTTTCTCATCGAAAAGCGTTTCGACATCCTAAGTTGTTATAATATCATTTTGAATATCTAAACTGCTTTGAAGCTTCCAATTGCATTTTAATGGTTTCTTTATTTTCACAAATGTTCGCATTTTGTGTTTTTCCTCATTGAAACTCCTCGGCAATTTTTTTATGTTACTTTCATCTTCTAGTTTTTTAAACTATCATTTTTTCCAATGTTTTTCACTTGTAACGTCGGTTGCTATAAATAAAAATTGTAAAGAACTTTTTGAAAAGACGAACCAAAGATTATAGTTTGTTTTTTTTTGTAAAATGTTCAATAATGTTTGGTTTTCAATTGCCCACTTTATAAGATCCAAAAGCCACTACTTGAAAGCATGTCAGTATGTTGCGTTCAAAATAACCACTTTTTTGGCTATTTAACTTAGCAAATGGTTCCGGGCTATGCACACTGTTCGGCACTCTTAACCGTTCGTCTTTCAAAGTAACACTCATGAGGATTTGTACTGTTAGAAGTATTTCTTTTCAATCAAAATGAATCATACAATTGTTAAATATAATTTACTTTTGCAAACAGGGGGATGCGACTGCTTTAGCTCAACTTCAGCATCAGCAACAATTGCAACAACAGCAACAACTTCATCAGCTGCAACTGCACCAACAACTCCAGCAGCAGCAGATGCAATTACAACAACAGCAACCTCAACATACACATCAATTACAACAGCAGCAGCTTCAACAACAACTTCAGCAACAGCATCAGCAACAACTACAACAGCAACAGCAACTTCAGCAGCAACAACAACTTCAACAGCAGCAGCAACTGCAACATTTACAACAACAATTACAACATCAGCAGATGACCCAGAAACAACTCCAATATCAACAACAGCAGCAACAATTGCAACAACTACAGGAACAACAAAATATTTCTTGCGAAAGTGTTGTTGTTCAGACACAGGTTATTTATATCAACATTTACAAACATTCACAACAATTTAAATGTAGAGAGACAATATATATATATATATATATATATATATATATATATATATTAGGGATGCACCGAAGTTCGGCCCCGGCCAAAATCCGGCTTTTTTTCAAATCCAGGTCGAATCCGGCCCCGGCCGGATTTAGGGCCGGATTTA